TCATCTGCGTAGAGAGATAATTTTACCTCCTCTTTGCCAATTTGGATACCTCTTATGTCTTTCTCTTGTCTTATTGCTATCACTAAGACTTCCAATACAATATTGAATAAGAGAGGTGATAATGGGCATCCTTGCCTAATTCCTGTTCTTAAAGCGAATGCCTTTTACCTCTCTCCATTGAGAACAATGTTGGCTCTCAGGTTTGCAGAAATAGTTTTTACTATGTTGAAGAAATTCCCCTCTAGTCCTATTTTGTTGAGTGTTTTAATCAGAAAAGGTGTTGAATTAGAAGCTGCAGTGTAATCCTGAAGGCATGAAGTCTGAATTCACCAGCTGCTCTGAGGGGAAAAAGATGGGGGCAATTTATCTCATAGGGTTAACTGCCTCTGAAAATCCCATTGGAGGGTCAGCTATGGGTCTGTGGTTCTGACTTAATGTTAAACAACAAATTTTATATATAGGTAGAGAGAAAGCATGCAAAAGAGAGAGAGCTCCTCGCTCTGGTGTCTTAGTGGTAAGGAGTTGCACTGTCAACACACGTGGTTCAAATCCACCAGCTTCTCTGTGGAGGAAAGATGGGCAATTTCTTCCCGTGTGATTTTTTTGTTGTTGTTGTGTGCCGTTGAGTCAACAATGACTCATAGTGACCTTATGCACAATAGCTCTCAACATTGCTCTATCCTGGGCAAATCTCATTGCCTCTGACATACCTACCCCCATTACTCCAATTACTGTGTCAGTGGGACCAACACTAAGCAAGAATGGACCTCCTGCTATAAGGATAAAAATAGTTATAGTCTTTTTTTAAAAAAAGACTGTCTCTCTAGACAGCACTGTCTCTCTAGACTGCACTGTCTCTCTACCCTTCTGAGCATGCTGTCATTCTCCAAGGACTGGTCCCTCCTGGCAACATGCCCAAAGTATGTGAGCCCAAAACATGGACCCTCAAAATCCTTGCCTCCAAGGAACAGCTTGCCTTCATCCTCTCCAGAACAGACCTGTTATTTCTCTTGGTAGTTCATGGTATGTTCAATACTATTCTCCAGAATCACACCTCAAAGGCACCAGTTCTTCTTCGGTCATCCTTGGTCATTGTCAGCTCTCTGGTGCATAACAGGTAATTGCAAAGTCCATGGCCTGGATCAGGTGCACCTTAGTCTCTAGACTGACATCATCCTCTTTAGCACTCTGTATAAGTCCCTGGCAGCAGATTTTCCTAACGTAAATTCATCTTTTGATTTTCTTGACTGCTGGTGTTGACTCTGGAACCAAGCAAGCTAAAATTGTTAACAATTTCAATCTCTTCTCCATCTATCATGATGCTGTCCATTGGCCCAGTGGTGGGAGTCTTTGTTCTCTTCATGTTGAACTTCAATCCATATTGCAGACTAAGTCCTTGATCTTTTGCAGCAAATGCTTCAGGTCCTCCTCAATTTTGGCAAGTAAGGTTGTGCCAAATAGCACAGGGTATTGATGAGTCTTCCTCTAATCCTGATGCCACATTCCTTCTCATAAAGTCCAGCCTCCTGAATGATCTGTTCTGCATACAGATTGAAAAGGTATGGAGACAGGACATACCCCTGATGCACACCTTTCCTGATTTTGAACCATGCAGAATTTTTCTTGTGTGTGAGATTAAGTGGTAGCTGAAAACACGCTGGAATGTCAGCTATGAATTGGTTCCAATTCAACAGCACACAACAGCAACAATATAGAACTCTGGTGGTATAATCGATAATACGTTATGTTGCTGACCAAAAGCTAGCTCATCTCTGGTGGTTCAAATCTACCACTGGCTCCAAGAGAGAAAGAGGGGCTGTCTCCTCTCAATATGATTTACAGCCTCAAAAACCTAGTAGATGTTGCTGTGTGGCAGAACCAAGTAGAGAACAGTGAGAGAGATAACGGGCCTGGCCATGGGTTCACTCTGACCCTGAACTCCAGCACTGTAGCCTCCTCCCCGTCTGTTGCCATCCCCCGATTCCACCATCCAACCTACAGTTTGCTGTCCCTGTGGCCAGTTTCAAAGGGTTTTCTTTGCCCTGTAGAGACCTCAGACCTCCACTTTGTCCCCTGGTTTGATGTTTTCTCTTCCTGTGCCTCCATTCTCCACCTGGTTTTTTCTTCAGGGTAACAAGCAGCTGTGGGAACTCCAGACCTTAAAACCGTCTCAAATGCAAATCTCAAGAAAAGAACACACAACTTGTTGCCTAGCAACCCCAGCAAAAGTCTTAGCACTGCCTTGCCTGCCTAGAGCCAATCACAGGTGGTGGAGGGAGTGTAATGCACTGATTTTTAAAAATTATTATTATTTCTTAATGAAAGTTTACAGAGACTTAGGGTTTCCAGTCATTCACTGTTGCACTTCTCTCCCTGTCCTCCCACTCCCTCCCAATTCACTCTTCCCCCCCAAAAGTAAAACTCTTTTATTGTTATGCAATCCCTCCCCTTAAGTCCACTCCACTGTGCAGCCTTCATTCTGGACTCCTGATGCACTGATTTTGACCACCTCGTTTGGGCATGTTGTCAGGAGGGAGCAGTCCTTGGAAAAAGACGCTAGGCTAAAGAAAATAGAAGGTCATCAAAAAAGAAGACCTCCAGTGAAATGGATTGACACAGTGTCTGCAGCAGCAGGCTTGAGCACGGCAGAGGTAGTGATGAAGGCGCAAGAGCAGGAGCGGGCAAGGCTTTGTTCTGTTGTCCGCAGGGCTACTCTGAAGTGTAGTCGACCCAATGCCACTTAACAGGTGCCAGGGTGGGGCCAGCTCTTCCTGACTCTCTGGTTGAGGGGGAACAAAGGGAGAGGTGCCAGGCCTTCGTCACAGTACCAGAAGCTCTGACCAAGTTGCACCTGCAGCTTGTGTCCTAGTGTTCTGTTCATGTAGGTGACATTCTCTATTTTCTCCAGTCAGCATGGATCTGGGTTTGTGTTGTTGTTAACTATTTTCAACAGAAGGAATTCAAGTGGAAAAAGGAAAGGGACATGCACAGCATGGTTTGGGTGTGGTTTGTTGAGGTTTGGGGTTTTTGTTTGTTTTTTTTTTAAGTAATGATAAGCGTGTTTGTGTGTGTAAAGTCTGTAACACTGTCCCTGGGTCACAGATGTCCAATTTACAGGCAACCCCATAATTACAAAGGAGCCCCTTTAATGCCCAGTAGAGTAAAAAGAATCAAGATGCGTACAGTAGTTTGTAGTAACGAACAGATACTACTTTGCAAAACATTCTTCTTCTTCTTGTGTACCATACAGTTGGAGCTGACCCTCCAGCGGGTTTTCAGAGGCGGTCAATCTCATGGGAGGAGATTGCCCATCCATCTCATGAGAAGCAGCTGGTGGACTTAAACTACATGACTTCGTGATTGCAGTGCAGGTTCTTGCTACGAGGCCACCAGCGCTCCCTTCTTATTGTATTATTAGTGTAAGGGTGTTATAGTTGTCTGAAGGTACGTCTTTAATGCTTTTATGATAGAAAGGTACATTACCTACTATGCACTAGTACATTTGACTAATTGATATTAGAGATGAACCACATCTGACTGTTCTGACTTATGTACAAATTTAACTTAAAGGCGGATTTAGAATGAAGTGCACTTATAACGGAGTGGCTCTGTGATGGTGTATACGGAAAGAGAGCAGTAGATGTATTTGAGAAACAAGATTCGAGGTAGTCTCCATTTTCTCTTTCTTCCAGAATTCTCCAATTGTCCCTCCCTGAGCCCAGATCGTGGTGTGATTGAGGAGAAGTGCTTATTACTCTTTTTTAATATTATTATTATTATTAATTATTATTTGTGTGTGCACCGTCAAATTGGATCTGATTGGTACAGGAAGAGATTGTCCCTCCTTCTCCAACAGAGCATCTGGTGGATTTGAACTGAGTGCCTCTGGGACTGCAGTGCATCTTCTTGCCACTAGGCCATCAGAGCTCCCCTGCTTATTACTCTTGACCAAACCCACTGAGTCCGTCGTTTCCGGAGGGCTCACTTCTGATCTGTTGTTGGTGTTACAGGAAAGAACATGAACAACAGCAGCAGCAACTGCTCCTTCGACGACGTGAACGCGCAGGTGAGGGTTGTCCAGCAGGTCTTCCACTTCCCCACCCTCATCCTGGGCTCCGTCCTCAACCTGCTGGCCATCCGACACTTCAGCATCTTCCTGAGGAAGAGGTGGCGAGGCTACGCGTCCACCTCCATCTACATGATCAACCTGGCCGTCTTCGACCTGCTGCTGGTGCTGTCCCTCCTGTTCAAGATCGTGCTGCTCTACGTGAAGGCTTCCCTGCCCGCCTTGTGCACCCTCGCCGAGAGTCTCTACTTCGTCAGCATGTACGGGAGCATCTTCACCATCTGCTTCATCAGCCTGGACCGCTTCTTAGCCATCCGGTACCCACTGGTGGTCAACCCCATTCGCTCCCCCAAGAAGATCTTCATGATCTGCTGCGTCATATGGGCGCTGGTGTGGGCCGGGAGCACCCCCGTCTACAGCTTCCATGGGGAAACGGAAGACTACAGGTGTTTCCACAACATGTCTGATCAGACCTGGAGCTCAGCAATCTTCTTCCCCTTAGAGGTGTTCGGGTTCCTTATCCCCCTGGCCATCATCGGCTTCTGTTCCTGCAGGAGCATCTGCATTCTCCTGGGCCGTGAGCACTACACCGCGGACTGGATCCAGCAGAAGGCCTGCGTCTGGACGATCGCAGCCAGTCTGCTCGTCTTTGTCCTCTCCTTTCTGCCAGTGCACGTGGGTTTCTTCCTGCAGTTCCTGGTGAGGAACGGCTTTATCAGCGACTGCCAAACTCAGCGGAACATCATCTTGTTCTTGCACTTCTCCCTGTGTTTCTCCAACGTCAACTGCTGCCTGGATGTTTTCTGCTACTACTTTGTCATCAAAGAATTTCGCACGGACCTCCTGGCACACCGGCCTTCCCGAGCCGAGCTGGTCCTCCAGGACACTATGACCACCAGGGGTTGAAAGCCCTGCTCAGAGGCAGGAAACGGCAGCCCTGCCTGCCACGAGCAGACGTCCGGTTCCTAGCTATTTGATGTGGAATGCTGGTGTGCGTCTCTTTTCAATGCTGAATAAGCATCATCTTTGCTCAATGTCCTAAAGGCCTTTCTCCCAAGCTCAGACAGCTTGAATGGAATCATTGGATGTTTGGGGTAAGGGGGGTTCTGGAGAACTTGAGAACCAGATAATTCTTGAATTCTACATTCAAGAGTTATGAAGCAGATGAATTGAAGACCAGAATGAGCTGACCATTGGAGCAAGAATTTCCAACTCTATCTTGTCATGTAGACTAGGCAAGGTAATATGGCTGTTGCTTGGTGCTGACTCACTTCTGCCTCTGAGTTGCTGTCATGTGCTACGTGCTAGGGTGGCCTTGGATATCTGGGGCCCTGGCAACATGCATTTTTGTTCACGAGGGATGCAAAAGCCTCTTGCACCCTCTGGAATGTGTGGAGATTGGAGTTTGGCCCAGGGCACCACTTTAAGTAAGTTACCATTTGATAAAACCCCTGTCTTACCATCACGGACTTGCATGTCTTCTCTGGTCTCTCAGTAACTTAGAGAAAAATGTCAAATTGCCAGTTCATGCCCAAGACTGACTATAAAATTCCATGGAAGAATAAAGAGCATTCTTTTGTTGAAGAGTGTCCTGGGCAGAGATGAAAGGAGAAGGAACAGGCCCTCCTTTTAGTTTGGGGTTTCTTGAGTGAAAAACATTCGCACTTTCCTATCCTTTCTGGAACTCAGATGACCAGAGATGATAGCACGTAGAGAGTTTAGGGGAACAGCAAGTGCAAACAAATAACTCCAAGCTTCCTGTGAATCTTAGAGAGGCGTAGCTGTCAGCCAACCCTTCTGACACCCACCCTCAGCGAGGGTGCGGAGGGACATGCTGAAACTGTGAATACCTCATGGGAGCAGTGGAGAAAGTTGTTGTTTTGTGCTGTTGAGCCAGGGCTTAACCTTCAGTGGGTTTTCAGAGGCTGTAAATCATACAGAAGGAGACTGCCTGTCTTTCTCCTTAGAAGTAGTTGGTGGGATCAATCTGCCTACCTTTGGGTTGACAGTGTAACCTCTTACCCATGAGGCAACAGAGAAAAGTTGGTGGTACCTAAAACCCACAGAGACAGACTGTACCTGGAGAAGCTGGACTTTAATCCAGTTCAAACTTGGTCAGTTATGACCAACTGCTTACAGATTGAATTATGGTCCAGAAATATGTGTTGTAAATCCTAATCTCTGTGTTTATAATCCCATTGTTGTTGTTGTGTTCATCAAGTCAATTATGACCCATAGCGACCCTATGAACAATAGCTCTGTACTCTGTCCCATTCTGAGCCACTCTCACCATCTCTGACACGTCTACACCCATTGCCACAGTCACTGTGTCAATCCATCTCATTCAGAGTCTTTCTCTCCAGCCGTTCTCCATTGACTGGTCCCTCCTAATGACATGCCCAAAGTATACAAGACAGAACTTGAGAATCCTGGCTTCCAAGGAGCAAACTGGTTTCACCCTCTCCAGAACAGACCTCTTTGCTCTCTTGGTAGTCCATGGCATGTTCAACAGTCTTGTAAGGCAGGTTTAGTAGAGGGTATTTCTTGAGTCAATCTCTTTCGAGACATAAAAGAGATTAAACAATGGAACAGAGTGAGAAATAGGGTAAGTGAGATATGAACGTGAGGAGATCTCCAAGGAACCAGGGAACAGAAGCAGAAGAGAGAAAGACCTTTCTCCAGATCCAACATTGAGAGAGTCTTCCCTCTGAGCTCAAACTCAACCATATTGCTGTGGAGTCTGAACTGACTCATAGCTGACCCTCCTGCAGATTTCTAAGTCTATAAATCACAAAGGACACAATTGCCCAGTTTCCTTGCCCAGCTGCTGGCCTTTGGGTTAACAGCATGAGTCCCTGTTGACTACTCCACTGGAACTCTCTTCATCTTGGGCAGAAACTCTGAAATCAGACTTCTGGTCTCCTAACCAGTGAGAACATAAATGCCTGTTTGTTAAAGCCATCAATGTGTGGTATTTATGTTATAGCAGTACCAGAGACCTAAAACAGCGATACAGAGAAATCAGACAAATCTGGATTTATAAGATGTAGGTGTGAGATGATAACTGCAATGGGGACAACTACAGGTTGGGGCCCTGAAGTGGATACTTAGAAGAGGTGTAGTGAACTCTTTCAGACCCCTGATATGAAAGATTGGATTCTTGCTATTACTGTGGAATGCAGCATACGTTCAAATCAATGGAGTCAGTCATCATCTTTGAGCTGGGCAACATTGTTTCTGACTCTGCCAGTCAAGAAATTTGGTTGCTATGCAACACTCAGGCGGCCCTTGCTTTCTAGGAGGGAGATTAAGTTTCTAAAAGGCATCAATCTCTACTTTCGTCTGCTTCAGCTATCAATCTGGTATACCCACATTTTACAAATCCAAGTCCATTCAAATGTCAGTTCTTAGTCGTAACTGAACCAAGAATAGCCAACTGGAAGCCCTATGGAGAAGGACACCAAACTAGAATGGAGACTGTCTGCCTTCCAGTGAGGTGCCATCAGGGTGATTTATAAACAGGACTTTAGCAATAGACCTGAGGAAGAAGGAATGGTGGAGGAACACTCTCAGGGAGGCAAATACTGACATGGCCAGTTTTCTAACCCGCATAGACCAATACAGCAGTTCAACTTCGTTTTCTTGTGAAAATAATTAGAAAGAGCCAGGCTTGGCTGCATTTAGCCATGAGAGAAGACAGCTGTCCTAGCTTTGCTGAGTCCTCGGGTGCAGCTAATCTCAGATGCACTGCCCACGAAGTTGACCATCTTGTTCCAAAGACACAACGGCCTGGCTTTGAGAAAGATAATGGGGTTCTTGGCAGGCTGGATCTGTCAATGAATCTAAAGGAGACCATGGTCTTCCTATGACTCAGTGTTGCAGTGAGTCAAATGGTTGTTCAGATAAAGTGTGGGTACTTTTGTTAGAAAGAGTGGGAGGTGATGACACATGAGGTTTTGTGGGAAAGGAGTGAAGGCCTTCAGGAAGAAAGCAACCTTGTTTGACACATGGTACAGGAGCCTTTGATGCCACGAGGTGGATAAAGGCTTGAGGGGCCACTTAGATAAAACGCAGGACCAGCTTGGGAAGGGAACAAGCTTGAAGCCCTGGGGTTGGTTCTGGGAGGGCTGCCAGGATGGAGAGGGGGTGGACAGGGAGAGCTGAGGGCAGAGTTGCTTCTGCCTGAGAATCTCATTTCCGCCAACTAGACCAAGAACCGTACAAGAGCAGATGCCCCCTTCTCCTGCTATCCCAGCACCACGTTCCAGTGCAGTCTGGAAGCCTGGTAGGTGACCGGAGAGAAAAATGAGGAAGAACAGGTCACCACGGTGCACAGGGTGACTTTAATCAAGACAAAAGACTTGGACCTTCAGAGAAACCCTCTAGGAACCTAGAAGGAGGCGGGGTTCCACCCAGCTGCCCCTCACCCAGGACACTCCTTCTCTACCCGCCTTCGGGCTGTCCACCCATTACTGCTGGACAGAGATGCCAACCATGCTGCTTCTAGAAGCCCAGGCTGTCATAGCAAGCTGGACGTTTGGGGTTGGATTAGGGTCTCGGTCTCGGGGCCCCCAGGTGGGTGGAGTTAGTGGCTGTCTCTGCTCTAACGACGCTCTTTGCATTTGGAGTTTGGCGCACACCGTGGTGGGGTGAGTGGATCTCTTCATGCCACCCAGTGTCTGCCATGTACAGTGGACACCAGACCACTTTCCATCCCAGCGATCTTCAGACACAAAATCAGGAATCTGGCAGTTTGGCTCTGCTTGAACCAGGTGAGGGAGCGGGCTCTAGATGGCCTGAGAGAAGGATCATATTAAAGGGGAGTAATCTAGATAGTTCCATGAGCTGGATTTCTTCTAGGTAGATTCACCAGCTGATTCTTCTTCTAGATGGATCCATGAGCTGAAGTTTCTTCTACATCGAGTCACCCTTGGTTCTTCTAGACAATTTAATGAGCTGGGATTTCTTCTAGATAAGCCTACCAGCTGGATCCACAAGCTATTGGCACAAATCAGGGAGGAGTCTGGTGGTCTTGGGTTGGAATGGTAACTGTGGGTGAGCTTTGAGGCCTTTCTGACTGACCTCAACACTCAGAGGAGAGGAGGTGGCCTCTCTCATCCCATCCTGTGAGTCACAGATCACTAACTCATGGTCAGTGGGGTTGGGGCTCAGGGTGCGGCTGTCCAGGAGGCTGCTCTGCGGTGGGACCACTCTGGGCTCCATCAGCCACAATGTACCTGCGTGTGGTCCACAACCACTCAGGTGCTTGGAGGTGGCCCAGAAGGGGCATGAGTGCCACCGCCAGGTGAGTTAAGGGTTTATCCCTCAAGCTAGCCACAGCCAATGAATCCAGGGACCCTGACAAACCTCCAGTTACTAGAGCTGGTAGAGACCTGGAAATATTAATATAAATGTCCTCCTAGATGTGAAGACCTGAGACACACCTGTTAATATTTGTGAAAACAGTCAAATCAATTGGAATAAAGAACTGCATTCACTTCTTTTACTGAATAAAGTGAATTGTGGCATGTTGTATGACTTTGCCTCCGATCATGGTTACTGGTTCTAGAGAAGAGTTGGGACCCTCATAGACCTTACCAGGTGACCCAAAACCCCTAGTCCCTCCAGTGGCCACCTGGATATGGACTGTGAGGCCAGAGGGAGCCAGGAGCCAGACCCTATGTGTTCTCACCCTTCGCCCCTCACCCATCTGTCCCCACTGTCTGTCTGTCCCTCAGCACCATGACCACTAAGGTCTCTCCCAAAGGTCCTTGGCTCTGTGTGTACCATATTGCTCATACTCCTGGCTCAACAGGCCAGAGTTGAGCTTTGCTCCTTGTTCCAGGTGAATTGTATCACATAGACCAGAGTGTCCAGTCCTTGACCTGGGCCACCCCTTTCCCCTG